ATAATCACCTGAAAATAAGAAAATCATTTTCACTTCACAAATTCACTCTTAGCGAGTTTTTCTGCAGCCACAGTAGTTTCTCCTACGTTTGGTTGAGTCCAGGGGTTTCAATGGGATCTCACCGCTAGATGCCACTAAATCTTATCACTGATCTTTTAATGCTCATGTAGAACATCTTTCAATTAGACCATTTTGGCAGTATCAAAAGGGTTCTTCTGTGTGGAAAGCCTCCAACACAAGAACAGACCAACATCACCACAGTAAAACTTGTGCTGGCTCCTCAGAGTGTGAGCAGCTCCTTTGGCAGTGCCACTTGTTTTTAGGCCTCAGGGGTTTCACTTGGTTAAACCTGCAATGAAACCTGCATGGGAAGCCACACTGAGGGGGGGGGTCTGAGACAACACTGAATTGGGTGTGAAGGGTCACTTTTGCATGGCTGGCCGGTTTTCTCTGTAGTGTGCGTGCACGCTTGTGTGTGTATTTGCGTGTACATCTAGGAGGTTGTGACAGCCTCTTTATGGCATGATGGCTGGCCCTGCCCCCGGGGGGTAGGGAAATATTAAGACAGCAAGTCGATAGCAGAAGAGAGGTGTTCAGCGCTAACAGTGAGAGGGAGTTTAAAAGCGCTGGGCTGGAAATGACGCTCTCCATCTCCGCTTCCATCCATCCGTCCTCCCTCCTTCAGATTAACTGGAGCGTAGATCCATAAAACTAACAAACGGACAAGGCCTTCCACCACACACACCAGTCACACTCTGATTATGCACATGGGCCTACATAGCTAGTGTTTTTTTTTATTCAGGTGCTTTACTTCACTATACTGGCACTATCATGCAATCATTTGTGCTAATGCTCATCATGCTACACTGGTAATTGAGCGTAATGCTAGATTTTGTTTTCTTTGTCCTATTTTTTTCTGCGTCTTTGTTTTCCTCATTTCGAGCTGTGCAGTGACGTTCTGATGTGATTTTAATCCAAGATGCACCACAATTAGGACGCCGCGGTGCAGCTGTGGGCGAAATGTACTGTTTAATAGTGATTAATGATAATTAGGGGGAGAGAAAAATAAAATGGTACAAGCTCCCTCATCAAAAGAAGCTCTGTGACCGATAATCTGCCGCAGTGATATTCGTTCAATGGGATTTTCCATGTGTGCGACTGTGTTTGAAAGAGGACGTACGAGGTGTGTGTCTGTAATTGAAGTGTTTGGAACAGCTGACTATGGCGAATCCTTCTCAAACACTTAACAAGATTTGTATTAAATATAGCAGGATCCTCTGTTTAGCAACCACAGTGTTTGTAGGGGCTAACTCTCTGTTGGATTTATTTATTAGTAATCCTAATTTAATCTGTTTACACTCATTATTTGAATGCACCATTTGAAGTTTTTTGTCCATTCTCATGTTGTTTCATCAGATGATCTAAATAATGGGTGATAATGGGTAGAAAAGGTTATGAATGGAACAGCTGCTCAGTGATTTTCAATCATTCAGACTGCAGTTAAACTGGATGTTTGTGAAAAGGGAATGAAAACAAAAGAATAGACAGTCAAGTGTTTTCTGCTATAATATGGCA